AGTGACAATAATAATTAACAATAATACTAATCATTACGTTTGATCTGTAGGTCAAAAACAACAATAGCAAATTGCATTTAGATAGCACCATCCATGCCAGGAGGTGCCCCAGAGTGGTCTATGTTGAGGACATCTCCAGTAACAAGGCCTGACCGCTGGCCAAAGCTGGAGAGGTGTCGGGGGGGGTGGGGGAGAGAGATTGCTGCACAGCGTGTGTTCCACTTTAAGCCTCACCAGCCCAGTGTGACCTCACACCCCTCATTGCTGTGTGATTAGCATGTATGATGAGGATTAATTCATTGAGTTATGAGATTAGCAATGGAGCACCTCAACCAGGGAATTGGGGTTCCAATGTCATTCAGCCAGTGCATCAAAGCGGAGGCGGTGGGAAGCCCAATATCAGCCTGGCTCTCCTATTATTATATTATTATTATTATTATTATTATAGACCCACTAGACCTCTCCTCTCTCGGTCAGAGGATTGTGGGCTCACATGGAGAGGAAGCGCTACCCACTAAGCCAGGCTCATGGGCTTCATCCCCCAAATAAAACTGGTCATTCACTTCATGGCTATGTGCAAACTGGCTGCTTCATTTGCCTACAAAATAAATACATAGTCACTACATTTTCTAGTGAATCCTGGGGAACGGTTTGAGACAGTCTCCCAGTGTGAAAGGCACTGCACCAAATGTAAAGATTTATTTTTATTCTTTGCTTTCAAGAGGACCTATGGCCTTTGACTGAGCATTGTGGAAGCGAATTCTCTGTTTGTTCCTACGCCAAATTCCTCTTTAATTCTTGGTTTGATTGTGGATCATTTGATAACATAATCCTTTGGCAGGGCGATTGAGTGCTGAGCTTACTGGTTCCTGATGCTGCGTGATACAGACAGGCCAGGAGCTGATGGCAACACCCTGCACCTCACCAGCCAGGCTCTGCTCCTCATCACACCCTCAACAAGCAAATCCCAATCCCCCAGGACTCCACAGAATGCTGCAGAACATCGGGAATGAACCTGTCCCGATCTTCCTCAACCTGTTGAGCTCCACAGCAAATGTGCTGTGAGCTAGTTCAGGTCAAGCCAGATCGACCCGCAGTTCCTGTCAGCACGTTAGCAGGGAAATGCTCACAGCAGCTGTCTGAGCTGCTGAACACTGATGTCAGCTGTTACACCCTGAGCCGCACCTCCCTCACCCCACCCAGGCGCGATGTCAGCCTGGCTCGCTCACTGGCGCTCTGACCTCTGCTGAGAAGATTGTGGATAGAAACCCCACATCGGCACTTTCTGCTCACAGGCCAGGCTGATGCTCCATTACATCACAGTGCTGAGGGGCACCATCCCATTATCAGAGGTCATCCTTTAATAAGACATTAGACTGACATCCTGTCTGCCTGTTCTGGTGGACATTAAAGATCCCACGGCACTGTTCAAAAAGAGAAGGCAGGTTTTCTCTCCCGGTGTCCTGGCCAACAATCCCCCCATATAAAACTGGCCACCCACTGCACACAAATTGGCTGCTGCGTTCACCTATAAAGTACAGTCACTACTTCACATCGGATAACATCTGGGAGCGCTTCACAGTGGTTTGGGATCAGAACTCGTTTTTAGGGTGTGATTTAAAAATGGATAGAGAGAGGGAGTGAGCTCTAAAGGTTAGGATACGGTGGAATTTTTAGTGGTGTGATGGTTATTTTGTCTAATAAAGTCTGTGATGCTCATATCGATGTCCACCATAGACTCACCGCTGACAATGCCTCACACCCTAAGCTGCTGAAAACCTTATTCTCACATCAGCCACCTCCTACCTCGATTACTCCAATGCTCTTCTCACCAATCTCCCAACTCCACCAACCAAAACATCCGACTGATTCAAAAATCCGTATTCTCCAGTCCTCACCAGGCTCCACCAGCTCCTTATTGCAACAGCAAAAACTTCAAAATCCTCACAAATCACATCACCCGCTAGCTAGCACCTCCCTACCTCTCCAACCTGATTACACCCCACCCCGCTACTGATCCCCTTCGCTCAGCTGACTCCAACTTCTACACGTCCCTCGTCTCCTCTGCTCCACCATCAGCGGCCATGCTTTCAGCCACCACGTCCTGAAACTCTCCACCTCAATCTATCTGCCTTGCCCCCTCCTTACCCATCTTCAGATCACACCTGAAGACCTTCCTCTTCCATCGTGCCTTCGGTCACCTCTTCCCCTCCCTTCCCCCCGGCTCGGCATCAGGCTCTGTTAAGCGCTCCAAGACACTACCCCATGTGAAGACACTATATAAATGCAGGTGGTTGTTGTGTTGAAGTGGAGTTAACTGTGGGAGGCAGGAAGCTCGTAAGCACTGGCTCATCTGCTGGTACTGTGTAGGGTATTCGAAGGAGCGAGTGACCTGGGGGGAGGACACGCTATTGCTGAGCTGGTGCGGGCTGGTGGGTGAGGGTTTAATCTCTCTCCACCCGCGGTTTGAGCCTGTGCAGTCAGCCGCAGGAAGATGCCATTGATTATCAATCAATCAATCCATCGTCTTAGCTCACCCATAGAGGCTGCTTTTACAAATGGATGTTCATGTGAAGAAAGACTCAGTCAGGAGCTTTACTGTGTCTCTAACCCTGACCTGGAGTGTGGATGGACAGTGTAGAGGAAGCTTTACTGTGTCTCTAACCCTGACCTGGAGTGTGGATGGACAGTGTAGAGGAAGCTTTACTGTGTCTCTAACCCTTGCTTTATAAAACCTTGGACACTAAAACACTTCAGTGGGCAATGCTGAATGGTGAATTGGCAATTCTGTAAAAAAAATTGCCCGTTGAATAATAATAATAATCTTTACATTTGGTCCAGTGCCTCTCAGGCCGGTCAGGGGCTGTGCCCTTACCCTCTCCAGGGGTCAACTTGTTTACTATCTCTGCCTCGCTGCCTATCGTTGACTTATGCCCGTCAGCCCGCCCGCCCGCTCAATAGCTGTCAGCACAGCTCAGTGCCCACGCATTGGAATCCACAGGGAAACAGTCACGTCATGTCAGGTCAGCAGTACACTGGGTTTGATCAGATTGTCGAACAGGAGAATAACAGATTGATCTCAGTGTGAGAATCACGTTAATCCGGGAGAGGCTGTCATGCGGCCAAATCCTAATAAACAGCCAAGATTATATAAACCCAGAGTCAGCAACTCAGCCCCACCCCTACAGTCACCCACCCCCCTACAGTCAGCACCCCTGACAGTCACACTCCCACTACAGTCAGCCTCCCCCTACAGTCTCACTCCCCCTACAGTCAGCCCCCCCCATAGTCTCACTCCCCCTACAGTCAGCACCCCCCTACAGTCACACTCCCCATACAGTCAGCCTCCCCTACAGTCACACTCCCCATACAGTCAGCCTCCCCTACAGTCACACTCCCCATACAGTCAGCCTCCCCTACAGTCACACTCCCCATACAGTCAGCCTCCCCTACAGTCACACTCCCCATACAGTCAGCCTCCCCTACAGTCACACTCCCCCTACAGTCAGCCCCCCCAACAGTCAGCCCCCACCACAGTCGGCAACCTCCTACAGTCAGCTCCCCCCCTACTACAGTCAGCCCCCCCCCCCTACAGTCAGCCCCTCACTACAGTGAGCAACCCCTACAGTCAGCCTCACCTACAGTCAGCCCCCCCACTACAGTCAGCCCCCCCTACAGTCAACCCCTCACTACAGTGAGCCACCCCTACAGTCAGCCCCCCACTACAGTCAGCCCCCACTACAGTCAGCGCCCACTACAGTCAGCACCCACTACAGTCAGCCCCCCCACTACAGTCAGCCCCCCCCTACAGTCAGTAACCCCTACAGTTAGCCACGTGGAACAGGCGCGATGGGCCACCTCTTGTGATAAATGATAACAATAAAAGCGCTGTATGAAATGCAAGTATTATCAGTAGTAGTAGTAGCTAGTAATCCTTGCATTTGTTGCAGTGCCTTATCACATCATTAAGACGTCTAAAAGCGCTTCATAGACTACACTGTAAAGTGAAATGAAATTTGTGGGCGAAACACAGCAGCAGTTGTACACAGCCGTGTCCCACAGACAGCCATGGGGTGAGCGACCAATTTTATTTGGGGGATTGTTGGCCAGGACACCGGGAGAGAGAAACTCCCTTCTCTTTTCAAATAGCGCTGTGGGATCTTTACATTCCACCTGAACAGACAGACGGGACCTCAGTTTAACACCTCATCCTGTTTTTGTGATATACACACACACACAAACAAAGAGACACAGTGAGTGACCCCCCCCCAATCCCCCCAACCCCACATACACAAGAATGACAGGCAGAGAGTGACAGGCAGAGAGTGACAGGCAGAGAGTGACAGGCAGAGAGTGACAGGCAGAGAGTGACAGGCAGAGAGTGACAGGCAGAGAGTGACAGGCAGAGAGTGACAGGCAGAGAGTGACAGGACTCATTCTCTCTGTCAAACGGATATTACACACACACTAACGTTCCATCCCCCGCATTAACCCCAGCGCCTGTGCTGCTCGGCCTGGGGTGATAACAGCAGCAGCAACAACAACAACATCTTGTATTTATACAGCGCCCTTCATGTGGGGCAGCGTCTCGGAGCGCAAAAAAAATGTGGTCACTCAGTCCACGACTGTGTGTGGGGACGCTGCTGTGCGCAATTGGCTGCCGCGTTTTGCCCACAAAGTATACAGTGAATTCACTTCACAGTATATTCTGTGAAGCGCTTTGAGACGTCTTAGTGATATGATAAGGCGCTATAACAAATGCAAGGATTATTATTATTATGAAGCTGACAGAGCCGGGCTGTGTGGAGCAGTGACAGGGACGGAAAGCCTGCCCAGATCCCAGCACACACGTTTAAGATGGGATCAGTTTAAGGTGGGATCGTCCCACAGTACAACATCAGACGTTTTTATACCAGTCACAGGCAATGATTAGGGGTGTCTTTCCACCAGCTCTTCTCTCAAGGCCACCTCACACACCATCCTTATACAGTCTTTCTTACCTTCTGTCCATCAGTGCTCACTCCACTCGCCTGTGGCTGTGTTGGTCTATCTCCTTGTACAGCTTGGCTCTGTGTTTGGATGCAGTTCCTCTCCAGTAATCTGTGTAGGACAGTGTCCACACACCACTCACTCCTCTATCTGTAGCTTTCTTTCTTTCTCTCTCTCTCAAGCTCTCGTTCTCTCTCTATAGCTCTTTTTCTCTCTCCCTCTTTCTCTCTCGCTTTCTTTCTCCAGCTCCTGCTCTCTCTCTCCCTCTCCTGATTAGACTAACAAATAACAAAGCCAGAAGGAGCGAGAGAGACGGGAAGCCCAGAGGACAGGCTCGCCCCGGCCACACATAATTCCGCTGCTTGTTTGCCTTTCATCTCTGAAGCAGCTGTGACCACTTACCCTGCTGCTGGGCTGGGCAGCGCTGGGGGTTAGCGGTGCTGGGGACTGGGCAGTGCTGGACTCGGGGCTGGGAGTGGTGTGGGGGCTGTCCTGGGAGCTGGCTGGAGGCTGGGGTTGGGCTGGGCTGGGTCGGAGCTGAGGAAATCCTCTGCTTGCTGATTTTCTCTCGCCACTCAGCCCTGCACTAACACTGAGGAGCTTTGTACATGGCAGCCCACAGCAAAAGTCCCATTCTCCAGATGCCACCATTCCTACACTCTCCAACCCTCCTCTTATAATATAATAATAATCCTTTCACGCCGAGAGGACCTCTCAAAGCCCTTCATAGGATTCACTGTAATTCACGGATTAAATGACCATATATTATTTTAAGGGATTATTACACCCGGAAAGTGATCCACCAATCGACTAACAACCGAGTTCCTACTTAATGCTTATTAAAGTGTAATAATAATAATAACAATCCTTGCATTTGATATAGTGCCATATCACATTGTTGAGACGTCTCAAAGCGCTTCACAGGAATATGCTGTGAAGTGAATTGACTGTATAGTTTGTGGGTGAAAGTGTAGTGACTGTGTAGTTGTTATGCAAATGTGGCAGCCAATTTGCGCACAGCAACGTCCCACAATCAGCCATGAAGTGAGTGACTGATTAATCAGGAGAGCAAAAACAAGAGACACTTGCATTTATACAGCGTCCTTTGTGTCTTGGGAGTGCTGAAGCTGACTTCTCTTTACCACCCACCTGAACAGGCAGGCGGGACCTTGGTTTAACGTCTATCCAAAGGACGGATTCCTCATTTATGCTCCGAGTTTCCCACCTCCCCCCGATCGCTCTGTCTGATCTCACACTGTGTTGAGCAGGAACCAGTCCACCTCTCCCCCCTGCCAGGCCACCCCACCACCACCCCATAATTGGTTTAGTTCAGTCGGATATCTGCCACATGCAGAAACCCATCACCGTGCTTGAGAATGGAGTCCTGTATCGTAGTGATTAGAGCATTCGTCTCGCAAGCGAGAGGGCCTGGATTCGATTCCCGGGCAGGGCGAAACGTTGGCCAAGTTTCCTTACTCCACGCGCCTCTGTTTACCTAGCATTAAGTAGGAACTCGGTTGTTAGTCGATTGGTGGATCACTTTCCGGGTGTAATATTAAAATAATATATGGTCATTTAATCCGCGACTGCTTGTGGGACGCTGCTGTGTGCAATTGGCTGCCACATTTTGCCCCAAAATGTACAGTCAATTCACTTTACAGTATATTCTGTGAAGCGCTTTGAGACGTCTCGAAGTCGTGATGAGGCGCTGTATCAAATGTAAGGATTATTATTATTGTAATAAGAGTACCCAAACCTGCCTGAGAGTCCCACATATTCCACATCGTTCCACAAAATACATATCGAAACACACAGTCACTACACTCGACAGCAATTCCCTGTGAAGATTCAGCATTGAAGGTGCTGCCCCACCACGAATGTGGTCAAATGAGAGCAGGAGGACAGGCAGCAGCCCATTGCCCTGTTTCACTAGTTTATTACATTTTTAAATCCCAGTGAACCCGCCTTTTGCCACACCCCTTAATATCCTAATCTCCCTGTTAGTGGCGGGCTGGCTCCCCAAGAGGGCTGGGCATCTTCAGGTTAAAAAGGGGGCGCACGTCATGGGGGAAACTTCCGTGCATTTAAAAACTTTGTCGGGGAGAAACAGGAGGGTGGGATCTGGGCGGGAATGGCTATCGGGGCTGTCATTCATCAGGAAGGGGATCTCTGTGCGATGATTGACTGCCCCTCACCCGGATGTTGGGCTCTGGGTGGTATCGGGAGCCGATCGCGGAGACTCTCGGGAAATATCCCACATAGATAGCCCGCCCTGGGAAAGGATCATTGAATAATAATAATAATCCGTGCATTTGATACAGCGCTTTAACACGTCATTGAGATGTCCCAAAGCCCTTCACAGGACTTACTGTAAAGTGTGTATTTTTGTGGGTGAAACGTAGCAGCCAATTGCGCACAGCAGTGTCCACAAACAGTCGTGGATTGAGTGCTCACATTTTTTGGGGGAGGGTTCAATAGCCCCGGAAAGAAATCCGCCAATCGACTAACAAACAGCTTCCAACTTACTGCTGGGCAAACAGAGGCGTGTGGAGTAAGGAAACTTGTCTAACGTTTCGTCCCGCCCGGGAATCAAACCCAGGTCCTCTCGCTTGCGAGGCGAGTGCTCTAACCACTACGCTCTGGGACTCTACAAATTCCTTGTGAAAATTATTGTGAATCATACTATTAAGACGTCAAACCTCCCTGTCTGTGATCTTGCTACAGTATTTTGAAAAGAGTCTTTTGTTTCCAAAGAGAAAATCTTCGAGTTGCATAACATGCTTGATCACTTTCCAAAGAGTATTTGCCTCCCATGGTTTATAAACAGTACCTCCTTCCCTCCACCCCATTCCCCCACACCTCCCCCTCCTCCTCACCCCCACATGGGGACAGACGGCTGTGAATATATTATAAAATCATGGAAAATATTTTAAACATGAAGTCACTGGCTTGTAAACCAAGCCTTCTGGGTTTAATTGCATTTTCTTTTCCCTTCTTTGTTGCTGTAATTATGAGCTGCTGTATGAACGCTGGGAACCATCCCACCGCTTGCTTTCCCCCACCTCCTGCCTCCCTCCCTCCCCCCCCCACCCCCTCTCTCTCTCTCCCTCCCTCAGGAAATATGGAGATAAATTACTTGGGAACAATCATGCAAATTTAATAATTTGGTATAGCGCCTTATCACATTGGAAGGCTGTGTCAAAGCACTTCACTTTATTTACTGTGACTATATGTTTGTAGGCAAATGCAGCAGCACAATTGCGCACAGTAATATCTCACAAACAGCTGTGAAATGAGCAATTGATTTTATTTGGGGAATTTTGGGCCAGGACACCAAAAGAGAGAAACACCCTTCTCTTTTGCAACAGCGCCATGGGATCCTCAACATCCACCCAAAACAGTTAAAGCCATTAGGATTTTCAGATCAATGTAATAACAGCAATCCTTGGGTAGATTTTGAGGTCCCGTCTGTCTGTTCAGGTGGACATTAAAAATCCTAAAGCACTATTCAAAAAGAGAAGGGAGGTTTTCTCACCCTGTGACCTGGCCAACAATCCCGTGATGGAATTGGTCACTCACTCGGTCGTTGTTTGTGAGACGTTGCTATGTACAAATTGACAGCTGAGTTGGCCCACAAAACACCCAGTCACTACACCTTACAGCAAATCCTGCAAAGCACTTTTAGACGTTTCGATGATGCGATAAAGCGCCATATCAGATGCGAGGATTGTTGTTATTATAAATGTTGTGAAAGCTTGCAATGCTTTGCCAAGAGTGGCAATTGAGGCCTGAGCCTGTAACATTTCAAAGGGAATCGGATCTGTATTTGAAGAGAAAGAACATGACAGATTACAGGGGAAATCACACAGGAAGGGGATTGGACCAGGCAGCTCTGGGGAAATTAATCCTCGGAAGGGAATGGGGGAGGGGGGGAGGTAACCAGGTCCTCTGGGGCTGAGCTGCTGTTGGTGACGTGCATATTAATGGAATGTTGTCGAGTCCACTCTCTGTGATAGTCCACAGTACTACACGGCACTGCTCATGGTAGTCGGGCTCATTGGCAGGGTCTGGAAGGGCAAACCAGTCACTGGGGGCAGGGAATCTTCCCACTCTGCTCCTGTTACGGGTTTGGAGACCCCAGAATGTGCGTTCAGAGTTTGTCACTGAGCTTGTCACTGAGAGCATTAGCTGGCAAGTCTTCCCGCTGCTTGTCCAGCTCAGGAACATCGTTACCCACTGGGACTTTGGCTGTCAGGGTTATGAAAGCTGAACAGCCAATGCAGGAATAGCATTGGCACATGGCTCCACCAGGCCCCTGGACCCAGGCAGCTGTGAATGACTGAAGTTCAGAGACAGGAGGAGCAAAGCTGCCCAACTCCAGGGCTGCCTGACAGTAAAGTGGGGACCAGGGATGAAGTGATAACCATGGCCTGTGAGCTCATGAGACAGCGCGCACAACCCCACCCCCCCCCCCCCACCTGACTCTCAGCTGCTGTCTGTAAGATAGCAACTGTCTTCCCAGGAGACTCGGCCACGGGTCAAAGGTTAATGACAAAAATGAGGGCGTAATGCGACAGCTCTGTGTGATCCCAAATATGTGAGCAATTAATGAGAGGTTGGCAGCCGATCGAGCCTTCAGGCCGCAGAGATCTGTTCCTTCCAGCAGTTTATTTCCAACATCTGGTGGGAACGTCCAACGCCACTGTTAGACACTCAGCCCAGCAGCCACTCTGCTTACACTAGTGGAGCCTTGTAGCATATTGGTTATAGCACTCGCTTCGCAAGCATGAGGTTCAATTCCCGGCCAGGGTGAAACCTCAGGCAACTTTCCTTACTCCACACGCCTCTGTTTACACAGCAGTAAGTAGGAACCGGCTTGTTAGTCAATTGGTGGATCGCTTTTCCGGGGGTAATGATCCCTTCATAAATAAATAATTTGGTCACTCGATCCACGACTGTTTGTGGGACGCTGCTGTGCGCAATTGGCTGCCGTGTTTCACCCATAAAATATTCTGTGAAGCGTTTTGAAACTTCTCAACAATACGTGATAAGGCACTATAACAAATGCAAGGATTATTATTATTATTATTATTATCATATTATAACACAGCCCTCAGCCCAGGACCCAGACCCAATGCCACAAGTCAAACAACAACAAAACCATCAACACGATTACATTTGTA